CCTTTTCCCTTTGTGCCCAAAGGTATTTTATTAGTATTGGTGGCTACTATGTATTATAGAGATCAGCTCTAATCTCCATATCTACTAATATAACATATAAATAATCAAGATAAGGAATGTTATCATTCAAATGAGTGTTGATGAAGCTGCACACTATGTAAACTGTTGATAACAAAAGTAACAATGTGACATAGAAGACAAGAAATCAAATTAATAGCTGTGTAAAACCATGAGTATGTATGTATGAAGCATGAGTTTGAGAAAAACTGTGATGGGCTTGACATGTGTGGAAAATCTGTGACTTAGATCTTAGCATCATTAGTCAGGTAAAAAAACACTACATACTAAATCAAAGACAACCAACACTGCAAGTCTGGAAGTAAAGCAAAAAAAGAATTGTCCCCTTGCCTCCTGCCAATATACCTTTAAGGAAATAGTGCCCTGAGAAATTATTTACTCACTTCAAGGATAAAAGGGGAAGAGAGATGGTAAAAGTTAAATAAATCGTTGGTGTGCTAAATGATGACAATTAATTAAACTCAAATCAACAGAATATAGGTTTCATTATAGTCAATTTCTAAAGCTGATACTACATAATTAATAGTTTAATACTTTTTTACTTTATTTCTCCATAACATTTTTGAAATGTTAGGAACTTAACTGCAATTGTTTATTTGAACACTGACTTCCTTCCTTGCTTGTTAAAAAGGGGATACTGCTCAATGAAGGGTTTATTGCACCCCTAATTTTTACTTATGTCAATCATAAGCCTACAGATGATTTTGAGTTCATTTACACAAACCATTTAAATGTCAAATCTCTTTGCGAATCTCTTTTGTCAGATAGAATCACCCTACAACTATAAAGATACTATATATTCTTTGGTAATCTTTCCTGTGGCTTTCTTTTATTGTTTTTGATGAAGTGAGTGAACATTCACACTTCTTCCTAAAATTACCCATACCTCCCACAGCACTAAGTTTTAAAATTAATGGAAAGACAATTGTATGCACTCACAATCTATCAGACTGTAAAAATTGTATCAGAATGATGGGTCCTAAATATTAGAATTTATTCTATTCTAATTCTTTTGATGAATAACAAATTACCAATACAAATAATGAGTAGTTCTGGGAAGAGCTTTTTTAAATATATAACAAGAAAGAAGGGACTTGTTATTTTTCACTTTGAACAAATCACACGCCTAAAGTATAAACAGAAAAGATTTTGACCATCCTACAAATCCCTGACTGAGGTTTATTTTGACAGAGGAAAATATGTCAGTGGACACATGACATTTTACAGGCATTTCTCAGAATAATTAAATCTCTTAAAATCTTTTTTTTTATGATTTGCTTTATGAAAACTTAATTTTCAATACAATTTATATGAAAAGTCATTTTAGCCTAACTCCACATTAATAATATTTCAGGGAATAATTTTAGAAATAACAGCACACTCAATGTTACTGGTACTGAATTATGACAAATTCTAAAATACTTAAGACTACCATCATTTAACTAGGATAATTGTTAATATCTCTGGAAATAATCTTTTGTAGAGATTCTCTGGAAATAATCTTTTGTAGAAATATCATCATGTCAGTAAATCATTGTTGTTGCCTTTGTTTTGGTTTCATCTGTCTTCTAAAGCTTGTATGATATAATCCCTATGGACCTTATTGTGGTGTGACAAACTTACTAGAATACTGTATCTACGTGCTGAAAACTATGTGAAGATGTTAACTAAAAGTATTAGATACAATGTTAATATTATTTCAAACATATATATATATATATTTAAGTATTTTTTATGCAGAGATGAAAGTAAATAAAACTATTAGTAGTTCAATGAAATTAATTTTGTTTTTGAAAAGAGTTATGAGAAGACCAAGGGGAATCTTGGCAAGTTTAGGCAGTCTTATTCAATATTATATTGTCACGGGTAAGGGCAAATACAAATTAAAAATAACAACCCTAATTCTCCTAATTGGAAATAAGGGAAATTTTCATCTCCTTTGTTTTTTTTCTTTAAATTGTAATTGCAAGTACTTCATCCTCTTTTTGAAATGTATAAAAATTCCTTTCAAAACTAAACAGTACTTTTGAAAACTGAATAGACCTCTTGTCAGCTTTATGCCCTAGGAATGTCTTTTTCATGGACCTATAAATAGCAAGAAAGATAGCACTCCTTTTTTCCCAATTTCTGTGGGAGGATAGGAGGCTAATTTTAGTGGAAGCCTCGATCCAAGTGGCAAACAAACCTGCCAACCTGTCATAAAGCTGTGAGAAGTGTGATTTTCCTGTGGACAAAAACAATATGCTAACACAAATGGTCACCCCAGTTGCTACATTGAATCTAGGATCACTACTTGTGACAAATGGTGCTATCAAGTCCTTTTACTTGAAGACTAATTTATTGTTTATCTTCAAAGCATGTATGTAAAAGGTTGTATCTGCTTGGCTACAAAAGGGTGAGATTTCTTTATCTTTGTCATCTCCTAGTGGATTGTTTGAATGCACATTAAAGTTTGGTTTAATGCTTAATAATAAAACTTTTCTTATTTTGGAGGGAGTCTCACTCTGTTGCCCAGACTGGAGTGAGGAGGTACAATTTCGGCTCACAGCAACCTCTAACTCCATGGTTCAGGCAATTCTCCTGCTTCAGCCTCTTGAATAGCTGAGACAACAGGTATGTGCCACCACGTCCAGCTAAATTTTGTGTTTTTAGTAGAGACCTGGTTTCACCATGTTGGCTAGGCTGGTTTCAATCTCCTGACCTCATGATCTGCCTGTCTTGGCCTCCCAAAGTGCTAGGATTACAGGCGTGAGCCATCATGCCCAGCTTTTTCTTTTTTTTCTATTACCTTTGTGGAAATGTTTTCTTGGTTGGGAGATTTTGCTTTTTATTTATTTTCCTAAAAAGGTTCATTAACATTTGTGTTGCCTTCCCTGCTATGATTTGTTTAAGGATCAAGAGGTATAAAGGGATTGCTATATATTAACTATACTTTATTAATATTTACAGAAATAGTAACATGGGGAGAGATATGCAACACAAATATATTTTATAGAACCATTGTAATATAGTTTTGAGTTTCACCTGCAAAGGTCTTCAATCTTTATTAAAGTGATTTTTCCCCCTATTGAATGGCACATTAGAATCAAGGTAAACTGTTGAAAAAGATCCTATATCATATTCTAAGGATATTAGTATTTCTTTGAGAGGTTATTCCTAGTAGTATTATAGTCTTGGCTATCAACTTTGAAAGCCCACATGTAATTTCTGGCCAAATCTGCAGTGCCTGATGATTTGTGGATATGCCATATGCCCTGCAAATAATCTATGCAAGACAACTTCCTACTTCCCAAAAAAGTGATTTTCTCATAAGAAGTATATCCTAGATGACTAAAAACTCAGTAAGACCCCTTACATTTATGAGACTATTGTCAGATATAATACATCTAATATAGTCTAAGATTGGATAGAGTAAATAAAAGATCAAACAAAGAAACCAATGATAACATAGATATCAAGTTCATCAAATTATATTAAAAATAGTATATTCATCGCTTCTCGGCTTTTTGGCTAAGATCAAGTGTAAAAATAGTATATTCAGTTCTGCAAAAAATATTTTAAAACACATTTCAAAATGAACCTTTATAAACTTTAGTTCTTCCAAAACAGAACTGATGAGATAGTGTGAAATTCTAAAACTATGTCACATGAAAGACCAACTTTTTACTCCATCTTAAAATTTTTATCATTTACCATTTGCAAATGATATAGGGAATATTGATATGAGTATGTTAAAGGTATTTTTCCCTTTAGAGGCTTTTCACTGAAGTAGAATGGATAAGACATATTCACAAATATTTGTGTATAAGTAGATTTATTTAGAAGCCAAAACAGTCTTCGACTAATTTATCCTTCTGTCACTTTCTCTATGCCTCAAGAGGATAAATAAAAGGTGGGGGGAGGCAGTTCTTAACTTCCTTGTGTGGCTAATTATTTGATTTAATATATATAACTGGAAGAAAGGGAGTATATTAATTTCAACATTTCCAATGGATGAGACCCACCATAATATGGCACTGTATATTCAGCTAGAACTAATGCATGCTGAAGTAAAAGTAATCCCAAAATATCAGAAACTAACCAAAATGAAAGTTTACATCTCCTTAACATGAAAACTTTCAGGTTTTTTTTAAGACTTCGTTGGGAATCTATCCCTCATGTGATAGCTCACCATCTATTTTTATCCATGATATCTACATCATGGAAAACTTATTTGAATTAAATGTGGATCAAAGTTTGAAATTGTTTCCCCAAAAATTTGTATTATTAAGTAAATAGGTTGCAGTTATTAAACTACTAGTGACTGACTCTATATTTCTGAATATTTTAAGATATTAAAATATATCATTATAGAACAAAAAGTGCAATAATAAAACCATTTCTATTGTAAGTTCATTAAAACCTTACTATTTAAGTGAGTAATAAAATAATACATCACTTAGTTTAAAAATCCATTTAAAATCCATTTTCCTAGAAAATATTTTCTAAAATCAAAATTTTCTGATTCATAATTAATATTTAATATTTAATAGAATAAAGGTTTTTCTCGGTCTAGAATATAGAAGATATTAAACTCAGTTTCTTATATACTTTCACTCAACAGTAATAATTAACACAGAAGACTTTTGCGATTATACGTGAAAGGACTTCTCCCCCTCATCAAACAAGCAATGAATTTTGTAGTGGACACCAGCTTCATGTCCTCTAGTTCAATTCAGATATTGTGTACCTGGAGGTGTTAAATTCCACAGGTTGATGGCTGAGTCCCCAAGACTGCTCTCCGTCCGCCAACTTCTGATGACGCCAAGTTATTTTGCCTGTGCTTCTGAACAATAGGCTGTAAGTCAAGGTTTCCAAAACCCTCTTTTCAGGTTCAATTAGTTTGCTAGAGCAGCTCAGAGAACTCAGGGAAACACTTACTTACATTTACCAGTTTATTACAAAGAATATTACAAAAGATAGAGATGAAGAGATACATAAGGCAGGGCATGTGAGAAGGGTCCACTGAGGAGCTTCTACGCCCTCCCCAAGGCCTCACCCTCTAGCAACCTTCACACGTTCAGCTCTCAAGAAGTTCTTTGAATCCTGTCCTGTTTGGCTTCTGATGGAAGCCAAAAGTCATTAGATAAGCACGATTGACAACTGAGAAGAAATGTGATTAAACAAAAAGGGTATGATCTAATACTAATAGACTCAGTTGGGAAATCCAGCAAAGCCTCTCTGTTCAATACTTCTTTACTTCTCTGTGCAGCATCTCTTCCTCTGGGTATGGGGCAGGACCTCTTCTGAAATGAGGTTCTTATGACCTACAATCAGACAAGGTGTATCAGAGAGTTTCCCTGTGGCCAGAGGCGAAAAGAGATCAAAATGTACTTTTTGTTTCTAAGGCCTGCTTTAACCTGCTCTAAGGAGCAAGTGAAAGGAAGTCAACAAAAGGGCAGAGAGGGAGATTGTTTTCTGACACGTGCTTCTGAGCCCTGTAGCACCCTAACATTATAACAAAATACCGCAACAAGTGCTATGAGTTAGATATAATATATTATATATATTATTATGTGTGATGTATCACACTTAGACAGCATTATATTGTTTCTTTTAAACTAAATTTGAAGTTACTTAACTTCAGCTAGTTATCAAATAAAAATTTTGCTTAAACACTTGCTAAACATCAACATATATATGCTTTTATTTATGCTTTTTATTTCCCGTCAACCAGAAAGTTGGAAGCATTTAATGAGAACATTAACAACTAAGCCATTTAGGCTCACACTGGCTACCTTTTTATCAGCTTTAACTTGAGTTTGTTTTCTGACCATCTCATCTCCCATGGGCTATAACTTCTAGCCCATTATGAAGATTGCTTCTGCCCTTGCTGATCTAATACTCATTTATGTTATCCATGATTCAGCTTGGCTTAATTTTGCTAGCAAAAACTTGCAAGGACAAATTTGTAACAAGGGCCCAGATACACATACTCTGTGGAAGGAATACAATCCATTTATACATAAATGAATTTCAATATTAAGGGATTGGCCTACATAAGGAAATTAGAAGCCTGGAACTGCTAGACTGAATAAAATATTTAAAAGTTGAGAGCCCATTAAGTAATCAATGTATTCATTTCTCACACTTCATCACTGTGAGAGCCAGAACAATTGATTCAACATGAGAAAAATTCTCAAAGCTCAGATTTGCCTTCAACTCATTCATCCACTTTCTGGATGAAAATTGCTAAAAACCCCTGTGGATAGGTTTGAGGGAGCAATAGTAAAATAAAATCTTTATCAATAATGGCAAAGAAGAAAGAAAGGGTAGGTGACAAGATAATAGGAATAGATCATGTGGCCACTTAGGCAATATTTGTATTATTATTTAATTTATTGTATGATTCCAATATATGAGTGCACCAAGCTCATTAAAGATATTAGAGCAATTCTTTTGAATCAGTATGTTTTTCTTTGTCCTAGGTTCAAACAATTTCATTAATGTGTCACAAAGAACAATCTAATAATCAGTTAATAATGAATTATAAGAGACTCTTAGAACAAACATATTAGCATGACAGCACAGAAGGAAATTCTCAAAGAAAACATTTCAATATAATTTTTCCTTTTGTAAATGAAAAAGAACATAGACTGTTTACAAGCTGTCATTTTTTTCTTCTAATCAGGTACATACATGATACCTAAATGTGCCTCATTTCATGATCAGTTTTGAGGGAAAACTATAACTAGTTATGTGATACTGAACCAAGCATAGAAAGTCAACACCAAGACAAAAGTATGCCAAATTGCAGAGTCTTTATTGCCGGCGGCCACGGAGGACTCATGTATCTCCAACCTGTGGCCCCGAAAGGAGGGTGTCAAGACCTTTTATACCCCTAAAACCACCTAAGGGGTGAGGGTGAGGAGCGGGAATGGGGATGAGGGATTTCAGACATTCCGAGGGTAGTGGATTCTGTAAATCACCTCCTGGGTGGAGATGAGGGTGAGGGGTTCCGGACATTCCAAGGGCCAGGGGACTTTTGTCACTCCAATTGTTACTTAAGTGGTTTACGAAGTCAAGATAAATGTTAGTTTACACATTGTCTGGTAGTGGTGGGAATTACAGACCTTAGTTACTTATTACAAGTCGCAGGAGCCAAGATGGCATGGGTTTAGACTGCTTGCCTCTCACATTAGGGTCACAGAGAGCAGTTTCAATAGAAAGCCGAGGTATGGTTAGGTATGCAGTTTTATGGGGCTTTTTCCATGTCACAGATATACAATAAAGAAAATTATCTTCAAAGTGAGAGTAGGTAAACAAGCCTAAAGAAGAATTGAAGCAGAAAAGTGAGTAGTTAATAAAAGAACATCTATATAAGCTCACGTGTTTAGTATTTTTGCTTCAACTTGTTAAATATCAGTGTATTAAAAGCACTGGCAAATGCAAATGCAATCCCAAAATTTCTATCTTAAATTTTTTAATGGTTTATAAGATATGGGAAATATGTACCGGAAACAGACATTAAGGTTTATTTATGAGTTATAAAACACTTCCTAGAGTAATTTAATGAAATAACCTACTATTACCATCATTTTCTTAAAGGAAGTACATTTTGCCTCTGAAATACAGAAAACTTGCAACTTCAAAATAAGTCTTACAAGAAATACATTTACATTTATAAAAATCTAACCATTTTTCTTTGCATATTAAGAAAATGTTACTCTTTGGCATTTAGGAATCAGTGACATACATTGATTTCTAAACTTATTTGAGATGCAACTTCTTGTAACATTAGGAGGGGTCTGTATTCCATGGGACACATTTTGGAAAACACTTCTATTGACAATGTCTCATTTAATTTTGTGATCAATTACTGTTACAAAGACACTGAAAACAAGATATTTCTCTTGAGAATAATACATCTGGAAGAAAAAAGATACATGGAATAAAAGGTTTTTTTTAATACATATGGTAAGATAGATAGAAATCAATAAATGCAATTTAAAAGTTACAAATGTACAGTTCTTCATTTAGCTAAAAACAAACAAACCACAAGAAGATGTAAATTCCTGATTTAAAAAGTTTCATGTAAAGATGTTTTCTATAAAAAGCAAAGTAAAAATAAGCAATGTAGCATATTATTAGGCTCAACCAGCACTCAGTACACCACTATTTGTAAATCATTTTTAGGAAATAGTCACATCCATTCACTTACATATTATCAATCACTCCTTCCCTGCTACAATGATGGAATTGAGTAGTATTTACCAGGGACAATATGGTTCACAAAGCTAAAAATATTTAGCATCTTGCCTTTATTGGAAAGCATTTGCCCATCCCTGTGCTACATATAGGGAACACTCTCCACTCTCCAGATCAAAAGTAACGATCTCGGCGACGGCGCTGCCTCCCAGAGGCGGTTCCCGTAAAGCCAACGAGGCCCAGCCGGCCAGCAGGGAAGGAGGCGTGGATATGGAGCCGGTGGCTGCCAAGCCCCGGGCCCGCGCCGCTGCCTAGCGCGTCCCGGGGGCTCCGTGGGGACACGCCTGCCGCCGCTGCTCGGGGACCCATAGAGCCCCGCGCTGCGCGGATGGCCCTGCTCCCGCGCCCCGCGCTCATCCTCCTGCTCCTCCTCACGGCCGCTGTTGTCAGGTGCCTGGAGCAGGCCCAGACCACCGACTGGAGGGCCACCCTGAAGACCATCCGGAACGGCGTTCACAAGATAGACACGTACCTGAACGCCGCCTTGGACCTCCTGGGAGGCGAGGACGGTCTCTGCCAGTATAAATGCAGTGACGGATCTAAGCCTTTCCCACGTTATGGTTATAAACCCTCCCCACCGAATGGATGTGGCTCTCCACTGTTTGGTGTTCATCTTAACATTGGTATCCCTTCCCTGACAAAATGCTGCAACCAACACGATAGGTGCTATGAGACCTGTGGCAAAAGCAAGAATGACTGCGATGAGGAGTTCCAGTATTGCCTCTCCAAGATCTGCCGAGATGTACAGAAAACACTAGGACTAACTCAGCATGTTCAGGCCTGTGAAACAACAGTGGAGCTCTTGTTTGACAGTGTTATACATTTAGGTTGTAAACCATATCTGGACAGCCAGCGAGCCGCATGCAGGTGTCATTATGAAGAAAAAACCGATCTTTAGGAGATGCCGACAGCTGGTGATGGAAGAAGACCAAAGAACATAACCTTTGACAAATAACTAATGTTTTTACAACATAAAACTGTCTTTATTTTTGTGAAAGGATTATTTTGAGACCTTAAAATAACTTACATCTTGATCTTAAAACCTCAAAGAAAAAAAGGGAGATGGCCGGGCGCGGTGGCTCAAGCCTGTAATCCCAGCACTTTGGGAGGCCGAGGCGGTGGATCACGAGGTCAAGAGATTGAGACCATCCTGGTCAACATGGTGAAACCCCGTCTCTACTAAAAATACAAAAAATTAGCTGGGCATGGTGGCACATGCCTGTAATCCCTCAAAATGCAAATTTAAGGGCTGGGCGCACTGGCTCGTGCCTGTAATCCCCGCACTTTGGGAGGCTGAGGCAGGCGGATCATGAGGTCAAGAGATCGAGACCATCCTGGCCAACATCGTGAAACCCCATCTCTACTAAATACAAAAATTAGCTGGGCGTGGTGGCACACACCTGTAGTCCTAGCTACTCAAGAGACTGAGGCAGGAGAATTGCCTGAACCCAGGAGGCGGAGGTCGC